AATAATTGCATATCGCAGAGTAAGCTTACTTCTGACAAGCGAATGTTTCAGTAATTCGTTACAATTTGTACTAGCAGTAATGCCTTATGCATATTTCCTGCGCTCAGATCCAATACACTCCAATGATTATTTCTTAGATTTCAGGCAATGCAAAGAAATTCGATAAGGTCAATTGGTAGTGCTATCAACGAAAAAGAAATAATGTTCTTCAAACAAGTAATGAAGAGAAATTCAAATACTTTTGAGAAAAAGAATTTATGAAGATATGAGAGAGAAGCTCGAAAGAATATTAGATTTATCAAAATGACTTGACATACTTTCTGCTTACAAATATGCTTTTTCGAGGGTTTATAGAGTTTGTTACGAGAGTTTCGTGCCAGATTATGTTACTATAAGTTACGTTGTTGTCACCTTTACAGTCATGCAAACTTGGATTGATTTACATCTTGTGCTGTATTGCATTCAATGTTCCTTCATATTTCACCACCGATAAATGGATACTATTCATATCAAGTACGATTGTATGGATTATGGTACATTCATTGGATGGGTAAGCTTCTTTCTATCAAAATTATGTCTCGGAGCTCTTAGTTTTATGAATTTACCATTCAGTTAATTTGCTACAGTATACTAGAAGGCATATCGTCATATATCATTCAACTTCAATATCATTATCTCCAATGGTTGCTGGAAAGATTGGTTCGTCTTTCAGATTAATCTTTCTGATTTTCAACCGAAAGCTTATCTACAAAACAAATTTCGGTGGATCGTCAATAACACCCGATGCAAACTTAAATTTGTTTCGAATAAAGCAATGAAGTGAATATTTCTTTTGCATCCCTATGTGACGGACTGATTATTCCCATCTGGAATGGCCAATTTTTTTCTTTTGAAATCTTTCGGAAATTCATTTGATTTTTTTACGGATCCAATACTTTGTTCATAACACTTGCATGTCACAGAGTAAGTTTACTTCTGATAAGCGATTGCTTTAGTAATTCATTGCATCCTCGTATCAATAATTTTGATCCATGTTTCTTTTCTTCTGCAATTGAGGCTTTCAGATCCGGCATGCAGATCACATTGCAATGACCTTTCTCAAGTTTGAAGCAATATGAAGAAATCCAATAAATCCCCTGATAATGACCTTTCCTTAAAATTCTTGGTTCTTTCTTGCCATTAAAATTCAAAACTTCGTTTTCAACCAAAATCATGCTCATTTGTTCTTGATTCCTGATGAAATATTTTGGGGTGGTTTTAGATGAATAAAAGTTTCTTTTTTTTAGTCACAAGCACTGTTTATAACGCCTAATATGTAGGAAACAAGTTATTTTTCTAATAAATTCGAAACAACAACTCCATACAACTAATTTCAGTATTGCAAAGAGTTGAGACCACCATTCTCGTTCATTTTTGAAATCATTCATTTTTATGCAGATGGAATAATTGGACGGTCAAGGTTTGAGAACTTTCATAACTTCGAACGTTACTTCAACTTAATTTTAAATTTTAATATTTGGTTCAACTCTGTGCTATTTTGAAGATCTACTAAGGAAATTCTTATGTTTAACACTTGGATATTATTAATTTTACATTACCAGACGTTAATCTCAGTTGTTAATTTCATCATTACACTCCCTTATACTTACTTAGAGCATCGGAAAACTGAAAGATAGGATCTGAGATGAATGATTATAGAACTTTATAAAAACTGAATGGTAGAATTTTAATAAAGTTAGAACTTCATAGAAATGACGACAGAGCGGATCAAAGAACATATTTAATAATTTGTATTTTTAACCTGAAATTTGTAAACATTGAGGAAATTTATTTCTATTATCAAAATTTAATAACAAAAAGAAACGTTCATTTGATATAAAAAAATTAAAGGGAACGCCATCCAACATATAATTATTTATCCATTTTATTATTTATATAATTATTATTATTTATTAATTATTATTATTTATTATAATTTATATATTTGTCCGTTTTTTGACTAGCATTTTGCTGCATTTATCGATCTTTACTCGACTTCATATTGTAATTAATCGTAATTAGTTGCAATTGACTGCAGATGGTCGTAATTAATAACTCCATAAACTTTGTTTTCAATTTGTTCCTCTTATATTTCATTTTTTCACTTGGTTGACAATGGATAGCATGCATTGTGATTGATTGTGATTTAGAATTTTACCTGACTGTTATTTTTTAGCCTGTTGTTTTGAAATAAAAGTAATTATTTTGTTTCTTGAAGAAATTTTGGGTAGTATTTTTTTTATTAATTCCATTATTAATTCTACATCATCAGTCATTAATTTCAATTGTTAACATAGCATTACAATCTTTCATACTTACCTAAGTACATATCATTGACTTAATTACATACATTGAAAAACTGAACAATAAAATCGAATTTAATATATCAAAATTGCAGCTACATAGGAATGTGGATAAAACGAGTTATAGGATATAATTAATGCTTTGTGCTCTGAACCAAACTTCATGTTTTTGCACTGAGATGAATGCGAAAAAAATCTTTCAAGTTACCAAATGCACCGATTTACCATTATTATACATTGATTTTTTAAGAAACAAGCCGAGATCAACCTGCAGTTTCAAGAAACAGAATATGAAGCTTACATCTTTAAATTCGTCAAATATTATGGTAGGCCACGGTCTCTTTCGGATGCACAAATCAGCTATAACATAGTAATGATTTGATATTGAAAGAAAGGAAAAAAAAAACTGGTTGATATTCTCTCCATGAAGTATTCTTCATAACCACCGGTTGAATTTGATTAAATTATTTGATTCAAAGCACACGCCAAAAAAAGAATGACAAAATATTGAGATTACATGCTAATCATGCTTATTCCGAAATCAGTTAACTGTTATTACGTAAAGAGCAGACAAAAACAAACCTCATTACAGTAATGCTCAAGTGCTTAAGGATCTATGACATTACAGTAGTGGTTAAGGATCTGTGAATTTTTCTTTTTCATAACAGATTCCATGGTACTGATCAATAGATAGTAGCGATGACCTAATATTATGCAAAATTTACTTCAACCTTTTCTTTCATTACTTTCTTAAAAAGATAAATGAGCACAATTTGACGAGAAAAGTAACAAACGAACGTTTATGGAGAGTGTCTCTGGTAGTGAATCAATAATTCCTTTCTTGTTAATTTGATATCATTGAGTGTAATTAATATCGTTGTGTGCGAGGACATACTGTGTAATGTTACCAAAATTGTAATGTTATTAAAAAACCTCCATTGTGTCTATGTGCTCTAATAAAGATGATAATTTTTTTTAGCTTCAGAACTGACTTCCTGACCTCAGAACTGTATGAGGATCCTCCCTAATTCGAGGGCGAAGACAAAATCACTTCTAAAGATGTGTTTCAACGAAGTCAGTTGAACAGACAATACCGAGCTCATTGGTTCCCCTTTCATACTGCTATCGTTATTAATTGTCATGTCAAAATCGTAATTATCGAATTCTTTGTTGCATTAACCAAATTTATCGTAATAAAATTTAATTATCCATGTTTGAGTATGAGTATGAGAAGCGAAGAAAATTAAAGAAGTCGGTAAGAAAAAATAGAACCTCTCAATCTTTGTCATGATCATAAAGAAACAGTTGACAGAGAGAAAATGTCAGCCTATTCTTGATGATAAGTAGATCAAGCAAAACGGCTGTAATGAAAATGTATTGACGGTCATTTGATCCGGTAACTGAGAAATCCTAAGTAATTTTCTGATTGATTCTGCATAACTAGGCATTTCTTTCGTTTCGAATTTCCGAATTGTTTCGAATATTTCTTTCTAAAAGATTTAACTTGAAAATCATACCCGTAAGCTCAGTCAACTAATCCATGCAAGGTACAAAAAGGATAAAAACCACCATTTCTCTACTATATATAATCTTTTAGTTTAAAATAGTTGCAGCCTGTCTAAGAAGTTTTCAGTAACTACAGAATAATTAACTGACCACTACGGTTCACATAGAAATGTAAAATAATTCAAATAATAGGAATGTACAACTAGAACTTCGTGGAAAAAATGAATCAGTTAAAATTAAGTAAATGATTACAGGTGGTCTCTGTTGTCTTCCTTCGTAGTCACCCGAATCTGCCTACAATTGAATATTCTCTGCTCGGTTTATCCATCATTTGTTTTGAACGTCCCGAATTTTCTGCTGAGCTTGCTGCATGCAAGGCGAAAGATGGCTTCTCTTACATGACAATATGGCTGAGCGAGATGTGCTTGGTGAGCAGATCTCTTCTTTGTCAACAAATTCTGGATTTCTTCATTGTTTCCGTTAAACAAGTCTATTCCTCATCCAGATGAATCAAGGATTTTATGGAAGATTGCAGGGTGCTAGTTTTATTATGTTGCCAAAGCGCCTTGGGAGAGGGATCTGTGGGATGACCTTGAAATCTGGTTTAAATATTTATCTGGAAGCTATCTTTCACTGTAGGTATTTGAAGATTGTTAACTTTGAGCCTTCTTCTTGGAATTCCATTTCTCTCATGCTTGAATTTAAAGCGAAGATTGAGTTTACATCGTACAAAGCAGTGGCATGTTTAACATTCTGTATTAGAAATCACACCAGTGTGACGAACATTGTAAACGTTTCTTTGACGCACTAAAACATAGTCAATAGATGCCAGTGCTTGAATCGAGGTTGCATCCATGTTGTCTTTAAAGTGTCTCTATGTTGAAAGATGTTTGTGATGGTGAGTTGCTGTCGTGGATTTTTGAAGTATTTTGCGGTCAGTCAATAGTTGGAACAAGCAGAGGATTCTCTACACGTTGGTTGTGGAGGAGAAGAATTGAGGTTATTTGGAGCATTAGCTGCACCACGTTTGATGTAGATGATGTGTGTGAAGGTTACAAGAACGACACGATACTGCTGATAATGATGAAAAAATGAGAATAATCCAAACTGATCGAGCGAAATGAAAAACTGATAATCAAAAAACTTCTCGGTGACACGGAATACAGCTTATACATACGGAAAAAGTGGGAGTGGTTTTGCTTCAAATTTTCAACAGAGGTGCAAAAATCTAAGACTTGATTAATTATGGCATATATTAGACAGGATGAAAATAACATACCTTTAAATAAAAGTAAGTAATACCAGGAGGAGTTACCAATCGAAAAACCGGAAATATGCTGGATGGATGGTAAAGATGACGGTGAAATTGGCTTGTTTATTAAGCTAAAAAGTACGATTAAACGTGTTTATTTCAGCTAACTTTCTTATATTGCCTAACAGCAGCTGTTAATAAACTGCGATTTTTAATGTTTTTTTTCTGCAATTTTTGTACTGTTTAATTTTTAAATTGTTCTAAAATTTCTGAAATGTTAAAAAATGAAATGATGAAATTTTATTTTTCCATTTCATTTCCTTCGTTCTATTTTGAAAATGACTGAAAATTTGCAAATATCTCAGAACAGAAAGTT